CATTAAATAAATATTAGCTCTCCTCTGGGGAAATTTGAAGTGTTATTTGATTATAGACTTAAAAAAAAACCCTAAATTAACAAATTATTTCTTTTTGCAATGTCACTTCACGGTTCTGTAGCAGAAGTTAGAAATGATTTTTTTTTTAAGTTGTGAGAAAATTCCCAAATTAACACATCCATAAATCAGAAAAGACTGACTATAGCAGAATCTGTAACATTTACATTTGGTCAAACAGGGAAAAAGTCTTTTATCCTCTTCACGTAGAAGAAAAGCTGTATGTAATTAGTGTGTGTGCAGCATATCTTTCTTGGCATTCAAAAGCATTACAAGAACACTCATTAATTTCCAAGAGAGTTTTGAAAAATACTAGTCCCTAGAGTTCAGGCTGCTTTTTTAGAAAAATCTCTCAACAGAGAGGAATGGAATCTGAAATTAAGAGGACCCGAGTACCCAGATTTAGGTATAAACTTTGGACAAGTTATTTAATCTCTCTGTGATCACTTCTAAAAGGAGAATGATGTCTTCTCCTTCAAATGAGCTAATGTGTATCAGTGTGCCCTCTGAACCATAAATTAAAAATTTCTGAAGTCAAACTTTTGTTTTATAAGCATATCTTCCTCGAGGATATAAAATTGTTTCACTGACCAGAAACATACTTGTATCGAAAATTCAACAAATGCTGCAAAAATTAATCAATTATAAGCTAAACTGTACACATTGAAATTTGAATGAGAAATTTCAAAATAAGAATTTTGTGCTATTTACAAAAGTCAAGTAGCATATACTACTTCTGGTCTCATTTAAAAAATTTTCTAGAGAGCGAATTGATTTATAAACATGCAGTAATATACCTAGGCATAAGTTTCTGCATATGTAAAAAATGGTTTTTTTTTTTCATGTTTATAACTCATTTAAAATTTTGACGTTTCTTTCTAGATGACATTTAAAAAGTTACAGGTAAGTAATAGTGCATGACTGAGAAGCACTGCTTAGCTAAAATTTCTAGTGGAATAGTGGCATCTTTGCTGCTCACATTTCTCTTTTAATATCAGTCTTTACCATTCACAGCCATTCTGAGTGTTAAGTATTCCCTTCCTGCTCTTTGAGGGCATTACTTTTGGAGAATCACTTGGTTTTATTTATTTTTATTTTTATTTTTTTTAAAGATTTTATTTATTTATCTGAGAGAGAGAATGGGAGACAGAGAGCATGAGAGGGGGAGGATCAGAGGGAGAAGCAGACTCCCCGCCGAGCGGGGAGCCCGATGCGGGATCGAGTCCCGGGACTCCAGGATCATGACCTGAGCCGAAGGCAGTCGCTTAACCAACTGAGCCACCCAGGCGCCCCGGAGAATCACTTGGTTTTAAATACAGACCTATCTCACAGTTCTCACAATCAGGTAAGTTGTGTTATAATGTTCAGCAAATTTTGTATTTTATGGTAGGAAAAAAACACTAAACACAGCCAAATATACACGTTGGTTTGCAATGTTGCAGTGACTAGATTTAAGTGAACACTGCACTACAGGCTAATCTTTTAGTCAATAGAGAGTAATTCAGAGCTGCACCTTCAGAATGTAAACAGGGGAAATTCAGTCTTTCAAAAGGCAAAGGATAACTTATGTACTGAGTTCAAAGGATTTAATGACTTCATTACACATCGCAGTAGGCATTTAGTATCAATGTAAAAAAATCCAGACCCCCCCTTTTTTTTAATTAAAAGGTGGTAACATAATAACACATAGCTCTTTAAGCACTTCTGCTTGTTTTAATGTACTTGAATTCAGGTATTCCTGGTCCCAGAAATGCTGGTAACTGAGAGATATAGAGAGATTTTTAAAACTCAGGTTTCCATAATTGCAGAGTTGTTTCTTACAGCTTAGTGCGGCTTGATGCAGCCTAAACAGGAATTTGAAAGTGATTTGGCAGACAAAAATGAAATACATTTGAAAAGGCCATTGCCCCCCCCCCCCCCCATCAAAACAGCCCAAAACACTATCATTTACTACTGGTTATCAGAACAAGTATCTGCTTTTATAGGGCTATCTCAACTCATTCTGTCAACTTCGGGTAAGACTTTGTTTCTTCTGCTTCTAACCCTATCAGCACAATCACAGAGGGTATTTAGGGTCCAAGGGGGTGTTGAGCTGTTGTTGTTTGGGGTAATTTAAAACTTGGACCTAATGCAACATTTTGAGAGATCAAGAGCATTTTCTTTCACACTAGTCCAAAGAAACACATTTTGTCTATCTACATTCCATTGCAGGTTCAATTGGATAAGACAGTTTCTATTTTCCATTCACAAACTGTTGAAATAGCAAGTTGGATTTGCATTTCAACAATGGATGGCCACCATTAACCACCCGTTTCACCTGCAACAAGAACTGTTGTGTATTAAAAAAAAATTCTTGTAAAATACACCAATGGCCATGGCTATGTAAAAATACAGTCATTCACAAAATCATGAATGTCCTAAAACAAGTACGATCTTTTCAAATGTAGTTCATGTTTATTATCACACCATTTTCAATATTTGTGCGCACCTACTTTGTACCTAGCACAAAGCTCCACAGTAGCAATTTAAAGTAAAAAAGGTAGTCCTCTGTTTGGGTTCAGTGGGGGAGACCACAGAAAAAGCAACAATATATCATAACTTTGATAGAGGATATACATGGGATGTTAAGGGTGCATTTGGTGACACACCGAAGGATGGAATGAAGACAAGAGAGTAACCTAAAGGTAATGCACCGAATTGACAACTAGATGTCTATCAAACTGTGCAAGAGACTACAGCTCTTTATGCTTAAACAAGCTCCTGAAATAGGATTATAGATGTGTAAATTTGTGAGATTTCCTAAATTAATTGTCTAACCATAAAGTTTAGTTCCCCAACAACCTAAGTTAAAAAAAAAATTCTCTCTAGGATTTTCCGTATCAGTTTGTTGTTGTTTAATTCCTGGGCGAGAAGTACATTCTCGCTCCATAGTACATTCTAGCTTAGAGCTAGAACGTTTTGACGGGTAATGCTAGGGAAGCAACTTCCAGTAAATTGCCTCCTATCAAACCTAACCTTGCTTCTGTAAAACTATGCTCAGACCACGCAGGTTTTTTTTTTAAAACTGGATTTGCAGATGGCCCTTTTTCTTTTCAAACCGTAAGAGGTGGTCTTCATTTATCACTGCACTCGTGTTGCCACCAAGATTTGTCTTTCAAGTCAAATCTGTGGGGGCTATAGCCTGGACAATTCAACGGAAAGACCCTTCTGCGGGAGATAAGCTCCACCTGTTGAGGTCACTTAGTTTACAGGGCTAGGCTCCTTCTTCCCTCCAGGTAGGGATGGACTGCAAGCACCCCGTCTCTAGAGAAGAGCCTACCCGGGAGGAACTTAGGCAATTAATAGCAAACAGCTGCAACATCTGCCCGGCTAGCTCACCCCTGCCCGTCGAAGGGCGAGGGGACTGCATGGCAGCCACAACAGCACTGCACAAAAGGCAGCACCTATCTTGAAGACACTCCGGCCTTGCGTGGACCGCGCAGCTCCCGGCGCAGGGGCCTCCGCCTAGGGGGCGCGGGCGACGCGGGCCGGGGGCGAGCCCAGGTGCGGCGAGGGGGAGGAGGGCTCCGCCACGCGCCAAGGAAGAAAGCCTGACTCATGTCGTGTCGTGGCGGTGGCGGTGGCGGTGGCGGCAGCGGCAGGCTCCTGGGAACTGAAACTCGTGATGCTGTTGCTGCGGAGAAAAGCCTCATTACCCATTCCGCAGGCGGGGGGGACACCACCCAGGGCGCGTACACCCGAGACCCAGGGCTCCAGCAGCCTCCGCGGGCCCCTCCCCGCCGGGCCCCCTCCCCTGCCTCGTGCCCGCGCGCGCGCGCGCGCACCGGCCGCGTGTGAGAACAGAGCGGACACACCTAAGCTGCGCGCGCCCCGCACCCTGCCCCACCCCCACTCGGGCCGAAACTCACAGGCCGACCCGGATTCGCTCCCCCGGCAGAAATCCCCCACCCCCTCCCCTCCCCCCGGCGTGTGCGCCTCCGCGAGCCTTCGGCAATTTCCGTCGGGAGACCCAGCGCTCGGCAAGGCCCGAAGCCCCGGCACCGCCTTCTCTGCCGGATCCGGCTTTATGTCTGCGGCGCCGGGGCGCATGCGCAGACGCCATCTTCCCTCCTTCTCCTTTGCTTGCCCCCTCCCCCCGCCACCGCCACCGCCACCGCCACCGCCTCCGCCTCCTCTCGCCGGCGGTCGCCCCTCCTCCTCCTGCGCTCGGGCGCTGGTCCCTCCTCCCTCGATGCCGCGAGAGACTGGGGGATACGGTGGAGCCGGAGAAGAGCACTAGTAACAACCATCACAGCCCCCTCCCCGCCCGCCGCCCTCCCTCGGCACCCACCCACTCACCCGCCCCGTTTGCCGACACCGACCAACCCCACCTCTCGTTCCTTTGAACGGCGTCGGCTGCAGTCGCTTGCACCAGCGCGTCTGGCCACCAACGCCGCCGAGAAGGAGCCGCCGCTGCCTGCGGCCCCCTCCCGCCCCGGCCGCGGGAGCAGCAGGGTGAGGACGAGCCGGCTGCGGAGGAAGAGGACAGGAGCGGCTCGCACCCCTCTGCGCTAGCGCACATCCCGCCGCCCTCCGGGGAGGCTCGGGCGCCGGCCCCTTCCTCCCGGAGGACGTGTGCCGAGCCGAGGCGCCTGCCCTGAGGGAGGAAAATGCTCGGGCTCCATGGCTGCCAGTGATGGAGCGGTCCCTGGGCTCCCGCTGCCACTGCCGCCGCCGCGCCCCGGCCGTGCTCCGCGAGGACCCGGCGTCTCTGCGCGCCCGCCCGCGCCTCGTTGCTGGGTTCACCGTACCGGGCGCCCCGCCGCCGCCCCGCTCCGAGCCTCGCCGCCCCGGCCCCAGCCGCGGCCAGCGTTTGCTCACGGAACAGCCGCCGCGAGCCCAGGGGGTTTGAAAGGGTCCGAGGGGCGTGGGGGGAGGGCCGAGCGGGGACAGCGGGGCCGGGAGGGGAGGTTTGAGCGACACTGAGCTCGGGGCTCGCCGGCGGCGGCGGCGCTGGGGTGGCGAGGGGAAGGCGACACTCGCTCCTCGCTGCCTTCGTGCAGAGCGACCGGGAGGGTTTTGCAGCGGCCGCCGCCGCCGCGGCGGGAGGAGGGGTTGAGGTGGCTTCTGAGTTATCCGGAGAAGGTGGGCATTTCTCGGTTTTCCCACCCCCTCCCCTTGTCTCCCCCTTGCCTTGTCTCCCCCCTCCCTCCTGCCCCGCACCCCACGTGAAGCGGAATATAAAGGGGGGTGTGAGACTAGAGGGGAAAGTGAATGGCGAAGGACTGAAGGGGTCCCCCCTTCGGGTCCCTGGCCGCTCTGTTCACCCTCGTTCATCCTCCCTTCCCGAAGCTCGCCCTCGAAGGCAGGAGCGGCCGGCGCCTTCGGCTGAGGAGGAGGAGAAGGAGGAACCGCGCCGGGCGGAGCGTCAGGTCCCGTTTTTCCTCCCCGGCGTCTTGAATACAAAGCTTACGGTGCAGAAGGAAATTGCACTCGCCTCCTCCGCCCCCCGGTACCCGACACAATGCACCAGCCGCCTGAGTCCACCGCCGCCGCCGCCGCGGCCGCGGCCGCTGCAGACATTAGTGCTAGGAAGATGGCGCACCCGGCAATGTTCCCCAGAAGGGGCAGCGGTAGTGGCAGCGCCTCTGCTCTCAGTGCAGCAGGTACCGGCGTTGCTAGTAGTGCCACATCTTCCGAGGATTTTCCGCCTCCGTCGCTGCTCCAGCCGCCGCCTCCTGCAGCATCTTCTACGTCGGGACCACAGCCTCCGCCTCCACAAAGCCTGAACCTCCTTTCGCAGGCTCAGCTGCAGGCACAGCCTCTTGCGCCAGGCGGAACCCAAATGAAAAAGAAAAGTGGCTTCCAGATAACTAGCGTTACCCCGGCTCAGATCTCCGCCAGCATCAGCTCTAACAACAGTATAGCGGAGGACACTGAGAGCTATGATGATCTGGATGAATCTCACACGGAAGATCTGTCTTCTTCCGAGATCCTTGATGTGTCACTTTCCAGGGCCACTGACTTGGGGGAGCCTGAACGCAGCTCCTCAGAAGAGACTCTAAATAACTTCCAGGAAGCTGAGACACCTGGGGCAGTCTCTCCCAACCAGCCCCACCTTCCGCAGCCTCATTTGCCTCACCTTCCCCAACAGAATGTTGTGATCAATGGGAATGCTCATCCACACCACCTCCATCACCACCATCACATTCACCATGGGCACCACCTACACCATGGGCACCACCATCCATCCCATGCTGGTGTGGCCAGTACATCCATCCCCGGAGGGCCGCCCACAAGCCCAGTATCCAGAAAACTCTCTGCCACTGGAAGCTCTGACGGTGTTATACCAGCTGCAGCAACTTTTGCTGTATCATCGGGTGGCTCACCTGCATCTGTCATGACTAATATCCGTGCTCCAAGTACGACCGGCAGTATAGGTATAAGTTCCGTTACTGGCACTCACACAGTGCATAATGTCAACATTACTGCTGTGGGTAGTTTTAATCCTAGTGTGACAGGCAGCATGCTTAGTAATGCTCATATAAATGCAAGCAATATTCCTAGTGCTGCTAGTGTGAGTGTTGGGCCTGGAGTTAGCAGCGGTGTTAATGTGACTATCTTGAGTGGCATGGGCAATGGTGCTGTTTCTTCCTCCGCTGGTGTTAACAGTGCCCCTAACGCAGCTGCAGGGATGACTGTGGGACCAGTTTCAAGTCAGCAGCAGCAACCCACAGTTAACACGTCGAGGTTCAGAGTTGTGAAGTTAGATTCTAGTTCTGAACCCTTTAAAAAAGGTAGATGGACTTGCACCGAGTTCTATGAGAAGGAAAATGCTGTACCTGCTGCAGAAGCTGTGGCGATAAATAAAGTGGTGGAAGGTGTAAAACAAAACCCGGTAGAAGTGACTTCGGAGAGGGAGAGCACTAGCGGGAGCTCGGTGAGCAGCAGTGTCAGCACACTGAGTCACTACACGGAGAGTGTGGGAAGTGGAGAGATGGGGGCCCCTACTGTGGTGGTGCAGCAGCCGCCGCCGGCTCTTCAGCAGATGGACTTCGGTGGCCCCGGTGCCGCCGGCATTTCTCAGTCACAGATCACGCAAGTACCGTTACAGCCTCAAGAACTGAGCTATCCTCAACTGCAAGCCCCGCTCAGTGCTGCAGCTGGTATCCAGCCGTCACCTGTTGGTGTGGTTGGTGTAACTTCAGCTGTAGGTCAGCAGCCTTCCGTTTCCAGTTTGGCTCAGCCCCAGCTGCCATACTCTCAGACGGCTCCTCCAGTGCAAGCCCCCCTTCCAGGGGCACCAGCCCAACAGTTACAGTATGGACAGCAGCAGGCGGCTGTCTGTACGCAGACGGTCCCGAGCCATGGTCAAGCAGTGACTCCGAATCCCGCTGCAGAGTATGTACAGCCGCAGCCGGTTCTTCAAACGGCGGTGTCCTCGGGACAGCCCAGTGCTGCAGGAGTGGCAGCAGGGACCACAGTGATTCCTCCGGCCCAGCCGCAGAGTCTCCAGCTGCCCGTGCAGCCCGCAGCAGTCCAGGCACAACCTGCAGGGGCATCTGGCCAGCCCGTTGGCCAGGCTCTCACGGCAGGATCTGTTGCGCCTACTGGCAGTCAAATTGCAAATATCGGTCAACAAGCAAACATACCTACCGCGGTGCAGCCGCCCTCTACCCAAGTCACACCTTCAGTTACTCAGCAAGGTGCTCCTCCGTCGTCACAGATAGGTCCACCCGCTCAAACTGCGATTACTCATCAGGGAGTTCAGACTAGTGCTTCGAGCCTCCCTCAACAATTGGTCCTTGCCCCCCAGAGTACCTTGTTACCTGTGCCTCCCCAGCCACAAGGAGTAGAATCAGTAGCTCAAGTTTCGCAGCAGTTGCCTGCAGTTAGTCCTCTGCCCTCTGCTAGTGGTGTTGCTGTTACCAGTCAGGTTAGTTCAGCGGGCCCTTCTGGAATGCCTTCTGCCCCCACAAACTTGGTTCCACCACAGAATATAGCACAGACCCCTGCCACTCAAAATGGGAATTTGGTTCCAAGTGTTAGTCAGCCTCCCTTGATAGCAACTAATATAAATCTGCCTTTGGCACCACAGATCCCGCTAGGCTCTACTCAGTTCTCTGCACAGTCCTTAGCTCAGGCGATTGGAAGCCAAATTGAAGATGCCAGGCGCCCAGCGGCACCCTCCTTAGTGGGCTTACCTCAGACTATGAGCGGTGACAGTGGGGCAATGTCAGCAGTTTCAGATGGGAGTAGCAGCAGCCTAGCAGCCTCTGCTTCTCTTTTCCCGTTGAAGGTGCTACCGCTGACGACACCCCTGGTGGATGGCGAGGATGAGAGGTAAGCTCATGCCATGTTTCTGCAGACATTCAGCAGCTTCACACTTAATCTGTTTTGTAGCTATGCGTATGCACGACGTTTGTCGAAGGCAGTACATACTTTTTCAATTTTGCATATGAAAATGTGTTTTCGCGGTAAGTTCCCTAGCGCAAGAGTGTTACGGAATGGTTTCAGGGTGGATAGCAAGTGGGTGTAAGTAATACGTAAACTATTTGACAGACGAGTTATTGAGCGTTACGTGTAGGCCTGGGGGGCACTGAGTGGTTTTTGTTAATCATAAAATGCTTTTTAAAGAGATTTATTACGAACAGAAAATTTGTGCTAACCTGTATAATAGTAAGTCTATTCATTTGAATTCCTAAAATCCTTGTGATCATCTCTTGAAGGGGGGTTGTGCCTTCCACGGTTGTTTCTCCTTTACTAGGTTGGACAATCCTTTTCACTTCTACTGTGTTTGATCTTAGACTGTGAAAGATAATGTTACCTGCTTTTCCTAGTCAGACGTTATAGGAAAGATGACCTAGTCTGGGTTATATAGGTTGCCCTTGTGCTGTAATTGACCAACTTTGGTGTACTTACTTAATGGTCATTTTATCTGAACAGAACAGGAATGGGAATCTGAAAAAGTATGTCGTGAGGGAGGAGGGTGTACACTGTCAAAATTACCAGATTCATCTTTGATAGTAGTATCCTGTACATTTTTCCTTTTGTATAAGTAGATCAAGGTGGTAGCCATTTTAAAGAGTAAGGAAAGTCTTGGAGGGTTGAATTTGTAGAGGTATGAAAATAAGACTTTGTTCTCCTGATAATCTATTCCACCTGTTCCCTTCTTTGTCAAAAAAATACCTAGGGCCAAAAATACAGTATTAAACCAGTGTTTTCGTAATTGGAAATAATGCTCTAAACATGCCATTGAATCAAATTGTGTCTTTTAAGCTGACTGCCTAGAAAAGTTGTGAAATCTCTAATGATTCTACATGGCTTTAAACTAAGTTGATTTTTAAAGGAATGTTCTTTCACAGATTTGCTGGTCTGTGACTAACCTTGATCAAACTATTATCATAGGAGTTAATGACAAAGGCTGTTCATTTTAATTATTTTAGTGTTAGTTGGAGATTTTTGTGATTGAACTTTCATCGAACCAATTGGAAATTTATATTCTAAATGTGTATTTGTGGTTTTTCACTTCGGAAAAATTGAGTGTATTTCAAAAGAATTGCAGTTTTAAGAAAAAGAGAACAAAGGCCAATGTTGCAGTGAGGTTTTCATGATACATATTTTTTTTAGTTACTCAAAAGGTGTAAAGCATGGTTAATTGAAATGATTTAAAATCTTGTCTTTCAAGATTTTTATAATTTTTCCAGGAGTCGTATAATTAAAACCTTGTTACCTAACCAGATGTATTCTGTAACATGTATACAAAACTGTACTTAAGAGGTAGACCTCTTCTAAGGGGTAGTTTCCTTAATAGTCCTATTATAATTATTGATAAAACTTTGTTTCATATGCTAATATTCACCTGGGATTGCTAATATTCACTATAATTTTAAAGAATTATTTACCCCAAATATTAATGTTTTCTAAATCTAAGGGGTGTGACTGAGTGAAACCCCTGAAAATCAGGTATATTATGTGGATGCTGAATTCAGAGAAATAAAAGCTTAGATGAAATACACAAATGAAAACCAAGCATTTTGAATTGAAACCTGCCATGATTTTTGTTAATTATCATTTGTGGTCTCCTGGCATGACTTTCTCCTTTTTTCTTCCCCTGGTGGTAGGTCATGATAGAGCTTTCCACAACTTGCTTTTCCAGACAATTAAAGTCAGATGTTACTACTTAGAACTAGGTTTTTAATTGTAGGGATAGAGGCCAGTTTAAGATATTTAGTACAAAATTAACTTTTCCATATAGTAACTGAGATGAAGATTAATTAGGGACAAATTATGTAGAAAGGTTTGGAAATAAAGGGACAAAAAGATATACTGAAGTATGATTAAATGTTGGTGTAAAGTAATCTGAGTTGACTCTACCTGTTTTGAATTTATTACATATTTGAACCTTTGTTAGTTAACATCAAAGTTAAGTCATCAAAACCAGAAAATTTTTGTTTCATAGGTATCCTTTAAACGCTGAAAAATCAAAATGTGTCACCCCTAAAATACCTATAAAGATCAATAAGGATAAACATGTGTATTATTTTCTTTATGGTATTCTGCTGCATATTATTTCTTTTACCCCTAAAGCTTAGAAGAAGAAATGTTTCATTGAAATTTGCTCTTGGAAGGGAATTTGAGAGTATCTACAAGAGAAAAAAGTGATAATGATTAAAAAAATTCTTCTTACCTTTTCTTCCCATGATAGCTTCCGTGTCACTTGCATCTTCTGGGGTTTGGTCACCAATTTCTCTCTCATGGGAGGAGGGGGTACATTATAATTTCAATATATGACTTAGAAACCGTGTTAACAGTGAAATTTTTTGGTGGTAAGGCAAATGAAAGATTAGTCGTCTTTTGAAATAATACTCTTAACACTTTAAAATTTAAAATGTTTATTAGGCACGTGGAAAATGCTTTCAGTTGATCATTGGGCAAGAATATAAAAATTAGAAACACAGGTCAGGAGTTTATGTATCTTGTTTTTTAAAATCATTCTCATCAAAAAGGTCTTAATGTCCTATTTTAGCTTTTAACATGAACTTACCTTTATAACACAGGGAAAATAACAGGTATTTCACACTGATCTATAGTCTTTTGTGTTTTCCAACTATTAGTACAGCCTCTTAAGTAAAATTGGTCATACTTCTCTTCATCCTTCAAGACTCAGCTCAGATGTTCCCTCTGAAGCATTCCTTTTACCCAGGGAATATTGTTTTCTGAGCACTGTTTGGTGTTCCTCTATTTAACTGCACTGCACACATGTTTACCTGTCTTCCTCACAAGACTCTGAGCCCCTCAAGGACAAGAACTAAATATTTTTTGAATGAATTAATGAGCAGACCTTTCTCTGCTTTTTCTGTCACTATTTAAAATTTATATTGTCTCATCATAAGCACAACTGTTAGAGATGCAGGATCATATAATTTATGCAATAAATTGAAAAGAAAAGAATAAAAAGGCTTGCTCTTTTGCACCTCTTTCACCTCATCATTGAGGTGAGTTGATATTTATTTTCTAAATATAATGCCTGTTATGTAGTAGGCTCTCAAATTTTTATTAAAGAGGAATGAAAGTCTTATCTATGAAATAGTAATACTCATTTTGCCTACTTCTGAGGATGGTAGCATTAGATAAAATATCTTAACTATACAATACTAAATTATAGGCTTTAATTTTTATTTAGGTTGTACCTGCACAGTTCAAAGGGTCAAATAATTTACATGGTTATGGAAACAAACAAAAGCTTCCTGCCCCCTTCCTTTCCATTTTTCCTTCCCAAAAGCAGTCACTTTCACCTCTTTTAGATGATTGTCATGTTTACTTCCTAGTCTGTAAACAATATGCTTATATTGCTCCTGGATATGCAGCATGGCTAGATGGTTAGGAGCATGGACTCTGGAATTAGACTGTTTAGGTTTGAATCTTCCTCTGTCAACTGTTAGTTTTATGTAATATTGGGCTACTTAACCTCTCTGTGCCTCATTTGGCTCATTAAAAAAAAATGGGAATAATAGTACCTACCTCATAGGGTTGTTATAGGAAATGAATTTGGAAAGCCCTTAGAACTGTGTCTAACTCATAGGCCCTGTATAGTGTGTGTTAAATATAATGCTCTGTGCTTTTGTTTCGGTTTTACTCACTTCCTGGATAGAAAATGAGGATTTAGCTTTGTTATCACCTACTCAGCTGATCTCCTTTATCTCCTGGCACTCCTTCTTCTTAATAGTTATGATTCCAGCACTCCCGATTATTCAGTATTCTTGTAAAATATCACTTTTCCTGTCACCGCACTTCCCTGCCTCCCTCTACTCCACCCCAGCTATCTAGTATAATAGTGTACTAGAATATGTAGTATATGTATTTCTGTATACTGCTTAGCATATAGAAATGTTAGTAGGTACCCCCCACCAAGTTTTCATCTGTTTCCTCCAAATTTTCTCCCATTTTTGTATGCCTTTCTCACCGTTTTTGCTTTGCCTTTTGTGACAGAGCCTTTCCTCAGATGTCTGGTAATTCTTGGTCTGGTCGGCTGCTTGCACGTTAGGAGACTAAAGAGCTTATCTAGTCTCAGTGACTTGTTGACTGTTAAGCTTTACCATAGGGTGATCTGGCTGAAGTTCAATGTCTCTGCCCCACCCCTGGCTTAGTTTTTGCTGTAATTATCACTAATTCAACTTTTCATCAAATGTCTCTTGAGATGTTCAGACATATCAGGTATTGTTATCAATTTTATCTTCCTGAGGCAGTCTCTCATGCCCCTCTGACCTCCATTCTGGACTGAGTGTCTTTTAGACTTGGTACACAACCATTATTGTGGGATTCCCTTCACTTTCTCCTGTGGTTGGATTTCCATTTTGCTGTGATCCATGTCATGTTCATTCTTGGCTTACTTGATGTTTTAAAATGGTTTTAGGGGATGCCTGGCTGTAGAGCATATGACTCTTGATCTCAGGGTTGAGTTTGAGCCCCATGTTGGGTATAGAGATTACTTAAAATTAAAATCTTAAAAAAATGGTTTTAGTTTACTCTGACACTCATTTGATTTTCTGGTTAGGTTAAGAATACTACATGTAGGGCGCCTGGGTGGCTCAGACGGTTAAGCGTCTGCCTTCGGCTCAGGTCATGATCTCAGGGTCCTGGGATTGAGCCCCGTATCGGGCTCCCTGCTCCTTGGGAGCCTGCTTGTCCCTCTGCCTCTCTCTCTCATGAATAAATAAATAAAATCTTTAAAAAAAAAAAAAGAATATTACATGTAAAATTGTATTATTTTATAATTTTGCTCCATTGCTTTCTAGCTTCCATATTGCTTTTGAGAAGTCTGAAGTCACTCTGATTTCTCA